TATATTATTATTATTAACATTATTTTTTTTTTTTTTTTTTTTAGTATTTATCGTTTCTGCATAATAAACCCCACAAATATATATTAAGTTTTAAATGTAGAAAAAATATAGTGAATTTATAATGGATAAAAATATTATATTAGATTGATTAGAAAATTAGATCTATGAATAATTATTTTAAATTATTTTTACCTTTTCAGATTTTTATTTCTATTTTTATTGAAATTACATTATTTTGTTTAACAAATTCCATCATTTAGAATTTTTTTTACACATATTTAATGAATTTAAGTAATAATAATATCTAAAGAGCTACAGGTTTGGCAGTTAATTTTTTTAGTTTATTATAAAACGTAGTTTTCTTTAATATAAAGTTTGAATTATTTATACTTAGATTTTTAATTTTTTACTATTATTGAATTTTTAGAGCATTAAATTGGCTACTTTTTCCTTTTTTTATTGCTTTTTAAACTGCATTTTTATGGTACATTCATTTTACTGCCTTTATATTATTATTTATAAATTTATAATATAAACATTAAAGTTATAATTAATTAAATTAAACATTAAATATTTCAAAAAAGTGGAATGATTTCAGTTGAAACTAAATTGGAAAAAACATTTACAGAACATAAAAGGAGGAAAAACAACTTTAAACATTTTAATTTTTTTTACCTTTATAATAATTTTAACTACAATATTTTACTTTTATTGTATTAGAATGTATTATTTAATAGCTATTTATACATTACACATGAATATTTATTATAAGTTTATTATTTAAAAAAAAAAATAAAAATATAAGGGAGTCATTCGGAATTTTCTTTATGGCCTATGACTTATGAGTATGTTTGTCTCATCAATGGAAAACCAGATTAACATTTTTTGTATGATGTAATAATTTTACATTCTATAAAAGATAAAATATAATCATGATTTATCTAAAAAATAAATATAAGTATAAATTAGATACGTTTTTATTTCGTTTTGTTGATAAAGAGATGATAAATTTATTAAATTCTAAAAGTTACACATTAAATGACTATCATTAGCCTATTTTTATCACGTTTTGTTTTTGATAGCTATTAGCTATTAATTAAAGATCAGTACATTTTTCTACTAAAAAAAAAAAAAAAAAATTAAATGATGAAACAACACTTTAGCTGAACTTGACTACTTAAAAATATAGTTCGTGTTTTTAAGATTTTTAATATCACATAGAATACTTAACTAAAAATAAAAATTAACTACATTACAATAATAACCATATGTTTTCTTTTTATTTACATGAAATCTGTTAATTCATACCATAAGGCTTATCAATGTCATCACTCATCATTATTGCATCTATTAAAATATTGTTAACATGGTGATTCAGTGCCGTATTACAATTATCAATACCATACTATTATAATCTCGTTTGGCAATATTATGTTATTATGCCTGGACAGAAGACACGAAAGAAACCCATAAAAGATATTATTATGACGTTTGTCATTAAATGATAACAATAATTGTGGTAATGACTAATGTGATTTTCATGTACATGGTGAAAGAGTTAGTGGATAATTTTACTATGTTTCGTATATTAATTTTACGCTTACATAAAATCTATCATCTTTATACCTAAAAATTAAAACTTTAATTTCAAATTTTTTTAGAAAATTAAAACTCAATAAGTATTTTTTATGGTTGTTAATAAAAATATTATACCTATATATGTGTATAGAATTTAAAAATCCACATTCCAACAAAGTATTTATAAATTACTACATTTAAACGTTATTTTATTTAACCCCTCAATTTTCGGTGTGTTATGGTTTAAATAAAGTACATGAATATATGTAAGTATATATGCATATAAGTTAAGTTAAATCGAAAATTAATTTGAACGATTCTATTATGTTTTAACCACGCACGTGTAGTAATAATAATAACAATAATAATAATGCGTATACACATAATGCCATCTTTAGGGTTTAAGGGCACGTAATCACTTAAACTTAAAAGTTAAAAAGTATAGGTACTTATGATATACCTGTATACTTTGTACGTGGTATAACATTAAAATATAAAGACGTTGATATTCTTAACTAGTTAACTATGAATAATAATACAGCGTAGATATTTTTAAAAATAATTTTACGTTTTTGCATTTTTAGTTTCAGTAATTAATATAATACAATATTTAATGGATATTATGCAACCTGAACATAAATATTAAAATGTTATTGTACCCAGTTGAGTTCAGGCTATAATACCACGGTACCGTTCAATGTTTCGTGAAAATGGACTATTTATGTTGATTTTATAAAGCTCGATACGTAATAATTAATTCTACTATGAATAAAATCTTTAAAAAAAATACATAAAGCTATTTTTTTAGTTCAAAAAAATATTTTAAGATAAGTACTAAACATGTACGTATATTACAAAGAATAAATGTCTACTTAAACAATAAAAACTTGTAAAATGACTATTATTAATTATTATTATTATTATTATTATTATTATTATTTATATTATCTATTCACCAATAAAAAATAAAAAATATTAAATCAATATATTCATTTTTTATGTTAATTTAAAATAATAACATTAATATATTTTTAACAAAACTATGAAAACACCTGGTTTAATAAAAATATAAAAAATTTTGATCAGTAGACGTGATAGCAGTATTTGTAAAATGGTTGCTGAGACGGGATCTTAAATATCGGGAGTTTTAATAAGTTATTATTAATGGATTTATGTCACCGTTTGGACTATACCAATAGGTTCTTCTATATATCTGCCCGCAGATAACCATTATATAGTCCAAAATGTGAGCTCAGCTTAACTCACAGTAGATTATGGTTAGTGAATGATTCCATGATTCCATGAATACAACGGCTGTCCAGAACACGATATGAGGGAAACCCGAACACAACACGACGGACAACATTACGACCTTAGAAAATCTATCTTCTTAGACCGTGGATGACATATTATAGCTGTGAACTTAGCTTTACTATTACCACATATCACAGTCTACGGAGAACTAATGGTATAAGTGTATAACCATTTATACCTTAGTGTGTTATACCTAGATTAGCCAATATTCCGCATCTATCATTTATGAATTTCAACCTTAGAAACGTTTCAAACGTTGAAGTTCATACGAGTATACTCGTTCTAAAATGTTTACCACTATCGAATTTTTTCATATTTTCTTTTGACGCCCGAACAAAACAATGAAACATTTAACAATTTTCTGTCAGTTCTATCAGGAAACAATAACGCATTCTGTCAATCACGACTTATAGTTTATTTTTACTATATAAAATAAAATTTCACACATCATAAATTGTCGTATTCGGATATAAACTTAACAGTGGATATTTTAAGCAATAATTATCACTGGGCGAAATTAAAAAAAAAAATTTTCACGCAAAACGTCATAATTAAAATCAACATAATATATGCCTAAAAAATACTTTTCAGAATTAAATATACAAAATCTTACCTATATCTAACAACACCATCAAAACTCACAACATATAAATATGTACAAATAAATTATGAGTTAAACTTATTCTTTTTAGTTAAAAAAAAAGAAATCAATAACATACAGTATAAATATTATATAAGTATAAAAAACAACACATTAAAATAAATATAAGAATTAGCTTATATAGGAACCAAGAATAAAATCAAATCGAAAACGATTTGTAGATATTTATTGGAATGACTTATGTAACCAGATGAAATACATCGCATTGTCGCATAGAATAAATTGCTTCTTGCATACTGTATTATTCTATGAGTATGTAGACCTACTACCTAAGATGATCGGTCACATGGATTTTCCACTGTAGAAAATTTCAATAATTATTTGTACTTCCAAATTTAAATGATCGAACAAAATAATATAAATATAAATGAATAACAAAATCTAACCGGGGGTGGGACGCTCCTACTGCTCCCCTTGAATCCACGCCTGGGAGAGGGTATTTTGTGATTTGGAAGCAATCCTCTGAAAACAGTCTATACCCATGTCTAATAGTTACTACGAATTAAAAATATTTATTATTTCACATAATGTGATAAATTCAATACACGAATTTAATATCTGAATTGATATGAGATGTGATATAACATAATAATTGGAATATACGAATACTTCCTTTAAAATCAGAGGCGGGCTGGATAGGCGAAAGGCCAAATCAACAACTTTAAAACTTCCGGCCATCTTCAACCGAAAATTAATAAACGTCTATAATATGAAATCAATTTTTTTTATCAAAATATTATTATATTTATGGTGTTACGTCATAGTCATACTGCAGTAATTGTTGATTACGTATATCCCCTTACACGAGTCTGATAATAGTAAGAGATCGTACACATTTTAGAGAACTTACTATACCACGGCCTCTAATACGGTCATGTTAAACGGTCAATAATTTGAATAATTATAGATTGCAAGTCAGGCAATTATTTGGCTAGGTACCTATTTAGTATGTAGTCGGAAAAACATAGATTTATAACAAGAATTAAAATTACATCATACTGAAAAAATTTCATTTAAATCCATAGACATATTCGTCTTGGTAAAATTATTATTCTTAAATAAATCATCACAACAAATACAAATAAAATATAAGTACACTATTCTCTCCGTAGATATTTGTCCTGAGCAATAGCCCATAATAATTGCTAATTAGTAATTAGTTTAAAATATATTGTGTAAACATACTCGTACTTGGTAGGTAATGGCTTACAAATAACTGAAATAATTGAAATAACTATTATTAATTATTATTATAGTCTAAAGGTATTAGGTAACGAAATAAAAAATAACAAAAATGTGAAATAATTAATATTATTGTAGCGCTACCTAGTGGTACTGCCAAAATCGGTATCCACATATCCTGTCACATACAAGCGGTAGGTATCAGTGGTATCACACTATCACCGTATCTTTTCATTAAATCACGTTCTAATATGATATCATAGATAAGTTCTCCTTGTCCTTCCGATAATAGTTTATTAATAATCCATGTGCTTGACAACAAAATTGATATTTCATACTGAATTCATAGTTCATAGATGAATTTGCTATCTAAAAGTTATCATGATTAGATTAAGTAAATTAGGTTATGACTTATGTTTGTGCTCGGTTAGATGTAAGTAATGAGTAAGTAACAAATGATAATTTGTGTGTTATACTGAAATCGCGTTTGCGTGTACAATCGCACTTGCGATTTTCAAACTTATTCGGTAATCGGTAATCGTAATTACTATTAAAGTCGGTATTGGTACTCTCCACTCTCCAGTCTTCTGTCTTCTTATACTTTGTATTTCTCAACTAGTCAATCTCTAGGTACGTTAGAGCACCAGCTCCTATTGTTTAATGTTTATTATTAAAATTAAAAGTGGTTTTATTTCGCGTAGTTGTGTGATAATCGTTTTCAAGACTCATCGTAGCTTTTATTATAACATTCAAAACATAATATATCGTATATTTTATGTATTAAGGTTAAAGTGTAAACGCTCTGGCTGTAATCACCCATTCAGACCATTCGATAGCGCAAATTATAAACATTTCACGGGTTGTATATAAATAGACGGGTAAACACTGAACAATAGTAAGTTATAATTATGTAATAGTTATTTAAGTACACGTATTCTTGTGATTTCGTCGTTCCACGTTATCATTATATTCATTACCTATTTACGATATTATTATAGTAATAGTAGTAGATCATAGTCTGTAATAAGTATTTATGGCATGTCTAAAATTGTAAAATAATGTAAACAGATTTTGTGAGCTTAAGCGTACCATTGTAGAGTGCAGTTAGCTTACATTACATACTTTTTAAGCTATGTCTGGCTACTTCCACCATAATTCCAAGGTTGAAAATTTCTCCAAAAAAATGCTGGATTACTATGAAGCCGGTCACAACTCATCAGTTGATGATAAAGTAAAATACTCTGACAAACGCTGTGTGACTCAAGGACCACTGATAGATACAGATTTATCAGAGTATCCGCAGTCATTGGATGAACCATCATGTTCTTGGAAACAGGAACAAGTTAATGACATGAAAGCACAGACAGGTTATAAACTTAAGCTCTGTGATAAAAATGTCAAGCAAACTTCTTGTAAAGAGCAAAGAGTGGACTTGCCAAAAAAGTTGAATGTAAGTTGTTCTTACAAAATATATCTTAACTATCAACTATAATCTACCAATATTAACTAATATCCCATTTAATTAATTAAATTGATTTTAGGAGCTAAAACTTGACAATTTTAAATCTCCTATTGCCAAAATCAATGAAATTATGTTGTTAAAAAAACAAGTAATTGAATACAAGTTGATTCCTATATTACCCCAGGTACATAATCCAATTTTTGAATGTATTGCTAGTAGTGGTGAAATAACTGGTAAATAATTTATAGTTTTTATATCTTTAATAAATGTACATTTTATTTAATATTTATAATGAATAGTTCGTGGAGAAGGTTCATCAAAAAAAAAAGCAAAGGAAAATGCAGCTATTGCTTTTTTGGATAAATTTTTTAACAATGATGGGAACAACACCATAACATCTACCACTTCAAGTATTTCACCGGACAAACATAGTCCATCAAAGTATAGGTATGAACTTTTATAAAAGTAATATTTAATTAATTAGATTGATTGGTTTATATTTGTTTTCAGCGATGAGAACATTATGGATGAAATTTCAAAAATAAATCCTATTGGTATACTGCAGGAGTTGTGTATGGCTCGTCATTGGGAGTTACCTAATTATGAGTTACCCCGTGATGAACACAATGAAACACATAAAACTTGGTATTCCGTGATATGTTCTCTTAGGAACTTCAAATCTATTGGTAAGCAATTTATACAAACTTATATCTAAAAACTTAAACAGTTATATATTTTAATTATATATTATGTTATGTTATATACAACATTTAAAATAAGAAATATTAATTATTGAATTTGTTATTTTTATAGATAATAATTGTTAATTATATTTGTAAAAAAAATGAATAATTTATATTAACTGTTTATTTGGTCTATTGTCATAACCATTTACCTAGAAAAAACCAAAGTAACAAAACTCAATAGACCCAAACATCTTATAATATTTTTTATTGACCCCTTTAAAAAAATAACTTGGCCAGACACTGATTAGTTAAATATAAGATATAGGAAGAAATTGTAGGACCATGTAGATATAATTACAGTATAAATAGATATAGAATCTTAAATATATTTTAAATAACTACAAATCAATTTCAGTTGTCTTTAGTTTTATTGTCTATTATACTTAGAAACAATATACTTACAAATTAAGAAAATTAAAATTTACAATATTAGGTTGCTTTTTATTTTTTTTGTTGGCTATTAAACAGTTATGCGTGGATATATTATTGTTTTAGCAATTAATTATGTTGTGCCTATAATATAGAGTTTATATAATATATCCATTATACAAAGTGTTATGTAACACAATTATTTTGTTGTATTACAATGGTATTGGTTTAGTGTGCTGTATACAAAAATATAGGTATCTTAATAATATCTATTCATTATACCAAATTTTGTTTTATCTATATAACATAATTAATCATTTTAAAACTAAGATTAGTTTTTTACAAAAAAAAAATAAAAATAGTTTGTCAATTTGTGTTTGTGAGTTATGTGGATTATATTATGTGATTTAACTGTTCTTTGTGATCTATCATTCATAATGAAAAGATTTGTTTACACTTATATTTTCTTAATCTGATTTACTGATGAACATATTTAATTGCAGTAATAGTTTATGTAAAATTCAGAAAATTTAAGTTGTTGATAAACCGTCTATTAGCCGAGGTTAGTGAACTTAAAGAATAAATTAGATAATACTTTGTCTTCTCGTTCAAAATAGTTCATGATAAACAAAGTAAATTAACGTTACATTTAAACTTTTAATTTGGCAAATAATGTTATTAATTCCATTATCAATGATGAAAATATTATCAAGCAAATACAATTAATATGCCTTGGTAAATATAGTCAAAATTATTTTTATTCTATTTAAGTTTCAATTGGTACTCTTGCTTAAAATTTTTACATTTTAAAATAAAAAAAAAATTATCATCTCTACACCATTTACAATTGGTATTAAGTTTGATCGCACTATCTACCAAAGAAATTACATGAAATCGTTTCATGAAGAACTTAAGTCTTGTAGGTCTATGGATGAATCTGATTTTATAATTAAATATGTTAAGGGAATTCTGACTATAGTTATTTAAAACAATTATTCTAATATAATTTTTATCAAAATGTCTGTGGTTCTACATTATTTTTTCCGAGAATTCTTGCTTAACTGACATAACTTATAAAATATGTATTATTATCTACTATCATAATAATTAATATTGTTATTTTTTCTATGTACTTCAAACATGTTAGTTGTTATATATGTTATTACTTATTACTGTCGACATATTATTTGTCATGAAATCATATCACTTACTATACTGTTATGAATAAATAAGTATAATAAAAATAAAAATGTTTTTTAATAGGTGAGGGAAAAACCAAGCAAGCAGCTAAAAGAGAAGCTGCTCAATTTATGTATGACCAAATAAAAAATATTTCTGAACAGACGATCTCTAAGGGTAAGAACTTTGAATATCAATTGCCTGCTCATTTTATGCTGGAAGACACTTCGGAAAGAGACAATTTAAATTATATAGAAGTTCTGCAATCCTTAAAGATGTTCTTTAATAATTTAAAATCATCTCAAAATCAAAGTTTAAACAAACTAAGGGTAATATAATTTGATTTATCTATGCTAATTATATTTATTTATATTATTTTAATTTTATACAGAATACACATTCCACAATTGGAATAAAAAAAAATGCAATTGATATTTTAAGTGCAATTGGAAAAGAAGAACAATTTAGTGTTTTATATACACTGTTGAATAAAGATCCAAGTAAAAGATGAGTTATAATAATAGTAATCATTTTTTATTTTTTGCTTTATATTTTTTCAGGTGATATTGGAATTTTAGTGCAATTAGCTGTCACTCCTCATTTGTTGCTTGTGGGTACTGGCAGTACCGTGCAAGAAGCTCAAGAATTGGCTGCTTATGTTGCTCTATCATACATAAAACTTATGTTAGAAAAGTAGAATAACATCAATGCAACTCGCCTATGGCTCATGCATACCTAATACAGTTGTGTTTAAAATGCTTATGATATTAGTACAATACTAATTTTTAAAATTTCCTACACAATATGGTCTCTTAATTCTTACTATATATATTAAAAATAATCTAAACTATTTATTTAATATATGGTTTTATAAAAAACCTTTTAAAAATATTATATTGTTTGTTTACACTGTTCCTTTCTTATATTAATTTAAATGATTAAGATCCATAAAATATTTTATTTTATTATTTATGTTTATATTAAAATGGTATATACTTTGTTATTTTTTTCAATATTACTAAATAATGTATAAATAATTAAATTAAACAATATTAACTTTCTCTTGAATAATAATTTGCTGTATTTTATTTTTCAAAATGTTTTTTTATGATTTAGAAGATAGTTACAGTTGTAATAATTTAAAAAGACCTTATAATATCAGAGGGTTCGATTAGATGCCTTTAAATTAATTACAAATCATTATATCACCTTTATTCTCCTGACAGCGACTTCTCTATTCATGCTATAGTAAATGTTCTGAATATGTAGTAAAGGTCACCAGTATGAATTAAACAATTACAAGACTTCCTTTACTCAAGTACACTTATTAACTTTATTATAACTTTTCAATAAACAAATTATTCAACATATATTTAATTTTAACTATAAACAATTTTTAAACTTATGTCTTTGTATATCCAATCTGCGTAGTCTTTTAATTTTTACACTTGTTTGTGATCGTCTATACAAAAAGACAGTAAGAACACTGTCGTTTTGACCGATTTTTTTATAACTAATGTCCTCTGTGTGTGTGTGTCGTGTGTGCTATCTATTATTCCTATAATTTTATCTTATTTAATACTAACTACTTATAACTATCGGTTATCATAACTATTTCAAATTATTTTATTATATTATATTTAAATATTTAATTTTAATTTTATATGATTGCTCAGACGCACATAATTACAATATAATGCTACAAATATATGCATTATTTTAATAATAAAATACTAAATAATAATAATATAAATGCAATGTTTTCGGCAAAAATGTAATCAATCTATCGCAATATTAATAGTACAAAAAAATACTTTAATAGTTATAGGTATATCAAAAAAACATGTAATATGCTTGATGGTACAGGCTGCTGATAGACCGTCTCCAATTGGAACAGTTTTTCATATTGTATTAACGAGAAAATTAGCAGAGAGAAATAAGAAATAACTTAGGAAGATATATTTCTGCACTTATAAGTGCTGGAAAATATTATCACTTACCAGATACCATTTTTAAAGTCATATTATTACCTTCCTCCTGATCTTCGGATGAGAGTTTTCGAGGTTGTGTAATCAAGAATTTGATCAAGTAAATCGTAATTTAAATTTAATATATAAACTATAATAATAAAATGTATAATAATAATCACGCACCTTATCTGATTCGCCATTCGTAGCAGTGAACATATTATGCTTGTTAGGAAAAGGTAAGGTAGATAACACAAATAAAAATACAATTCTTTGAACATTTGAGTTCAAATAAAAAATAGCACTGGTTTTAGATTTAGGTTTTTGAACAGAAAAGTCTAATTTTGTCACTCGTAGAGTCCTGTGTTGCTCGAGTGTTGAGTGCGCATGCACTGTCGAACGAAATTATATTATGGTCAATTCAGCCAAAGAGGCTGGCGGCTTCATCAAAAGCCTCTGCGTTCCCACGGATCTAACCTTATCCCTTGTTCGGCCTTCCCCAGTTTCTGGCGGCACACAAGAACATCACACGTCTTGTGATTCATTGTCACTAACACATGTCAATAATTTCTATGCGATCTTTACAATGCGAGTTGTCCCTTTCATCAGGAATGAAAGAGTTATTTTGGAATTATTAACCGTTAGGGATACTCGACCGTTATTTATTTTATTTATATTTAAGCTATGTATAATGATATGTCAGTACATTATTACAATAGGTATGTATCATGTATTGATATATCATTAAATTATAATGTAACACACCCATGATAGGTACCTACTTACTCGACACCTAATGTACTGTAGTGATATCCACTTACTTAAATGACGGTATTCTACATTTATTTTTGCTATAGTACCTAATAAATGTACGCAAATTTTTCAAAAATTTAAAACGCTTGTCTGCTTGTCTGTAATACTTTTCTCAGATAGATACAATGTCGATAAATATCAACATGTTAAATTAGTAATTTGTTGTTTTTGATATCACAAAAACAGAAATTTAAGAAAAGGTAAAAACATAAAATATAGGAAGTTTTATTTTGAAACTAATAGTTATTGTGGTTCTCTATGATATTGCTTTATTTTCTATTTATTGAAGAAGTTTTTGAGATCTTAAATCCTAAAACTTATCAGGACGATTAATTACATACCTAATTTTATTATTTTAATTTATAGGATAGTACCTATACGTATCTAATGTATACCTACAACATACATACGAGTATATTATATTTCATCACAAATTGCCTAACTGGAAACTGTATTCCAGTTCTTTAACTTAGAATCGAGTGATATTATACACGAATATCTAGGTATCATAATATTTAGTAATTTAATGAGCATGATAATCGGAGACGCTTCTACTGTTGACGGAATCGGTCACCATTGCTGGGCGAGTACGCGTACTGGAGGATGTTACTATACGGTCCGTTGTGTCTACGGGTATCGGAAGGCTACGCCCTTCCTTTATCTATTATTTTTAAGCTTGCTTATTGTATGTAAAGATATGCGAGCATATTATCATTACATATCATATTTTATCTAAACGTTCTATTTTCATTGTTAAAAGTGACTTAAAACCAATTTAAAATTCATGAATGACGTAATATATTATTTTCAAAAGCAAAAGTAACTATTTCTAAATTTTGTTAGAACATAGTAAATTATTTTCATACCAAATAATTGGTTTGTTTTTGGGAGAATTGAGTAAAGCGTGTTAATTCTTCAAATTTTTATAAAACATACTATTTCCGAAATAGGCCATACTATTTCCCACAATTAAAAAAAAAATACACACACACAATGGAATTTGATTAAATACAAAAGTTACTATTTTCAATCTACTTAATGTTTATATTGACATTACATCTATCATATTATGTAAGTATCAAGTTTTTAACCATTAAATGGGTTATTTTAAATATCAGAAAATCGTTTTTTAAACATAGGTTCAATCGGTTCTATATCGGTTTGCCGAATATTAGAAAAAAGTTATATCGGCTTAACATTAAAAACCATGTTTATATTTAAAATATTATACATTTTTTAGCCTAATTACCATATATCTTTATAATGAGCTTATTATTTTGACAGAAATCAATCAATATTGAAAAAGGTTGGAAATGAAGACAGTGCGTTTTAGATTGTCACGACACATCTACACATGTATAGATAATATAGTGATTATTTTATTGTTGAATAATGAATATATATCGAAATTGATGCAGATCAAATGTGACAAATGATAGAAATGGTCCAATAATAATTGTGACAATATAAGAGGTTAGCTATTATAGGTAGTAGGCACAAAAATTATCATCGTTATACCTTGGGGTAGGAAATACGAATTTCTTACTTTTAATTCCTGGTCTTTATAAACGAAAAGTATTTATGATCAATTCAGAAATTATCTGTAGTGGGGTAAACTGCGTGTCGCTTAACCTTATGAGTTTAGAGTTATGGGTATTATATGAAACATTTAGTGACAAAATTTGAGCTTAGTGTACCTACTATTACTGAATCGATTAAATATCTCTTACCCTGTGGCATAACAATTTTAATTTATAAAATCAGTAAAAAATAGTACGACTGTACGAGTATGTATTTTTTCAAAATGGGACGGCATTCCATTTGTATTGTTGTTGGACGTTTGATAATTAAATGATATGGGTTATAGACATTTAGCAGTAATCAGAATACGAACAACTTATTATAGATTATTGTGATGTCGTATAGTATAGACAGTAGTACGAGTGACGACTTTCGTGATGGAAAGATACAAACATGTTAATAATTATAAGATATGAAATATAATAGATGACTAAAGAAGTATAATGATGTTGTACAAAACATTATATTTATTTTTCGTAGAAATAATATTTATTTATTGTATGCATATATCTACACGTGTGATAATCACTCCGTTCACTTGTACAATACAATCAAATACGATAAAATACACGCGACAATATAATAATAATAATAAAAATAATGATAATTATATTCTATTGCACTCACGACATATAATAAATATTATAATCGTACACACAACAAGACACAATATAATAAAATAACACGTTAAAATATTTTCATATTTAAGAAAAATAAAATAATAATCTAGCAATTAATATAAAATATCATAGTATGTATAATAATGAAATAAATATGGGGAAGATCGTAGTGGTTACCATCGGCTGGATTGGTATCATGTGCAGTCGTTCACGTTTGAACGTTTGTGTCGGTTGTCCGAATTGGGGCTCCGGATACTCTCACAGCCGTCTCGGGGGGCACTTACTCCACTCACACAACCCGCGGCACGAGTCCTCTTGGAGGCCGCGGATTCACCACCGCATATGTCGATGTTGGGTATGAATAGTCGTAGGGCATTCGGTCCGGTCGGAAACTCGGCAGCGGTAAGTTGGTCAACCGCCGCCGCCGTCGTGGGGGCGATCCTGAGTTTGGCATCCGGGTTCATGGTCACCTCCAGCGACCGTTTAGTTACCACTTCCTGGTGCGTGTCGAACGCCTTGACCAGTTGGGCTACCGAAAACCTATGGCGGGCAGAGGACAGAAAACGAGTCACAGTCAATCATTTGTTATAATGATAGATTACATCTAATAATATATTAATAGGCTATAGGCATTATTATGATTTATGATATATCTGGTTGCATTTTATTATACGATGCACCTCAATTCACGTGTCACCTCGGGTTTCGTAAATTTTAGATGGGTTACAAAATACGGATCAACTAAGTTTTAGGGTGTCTCGGTGTCCCGAAAATCTTTATTGGGATTTCAATATACGTCCAATAAATATGATTCGTTAACGGTTATTATGAATTCATATTTCATCGTTCGATTATTTACATTACTTTATCGCGGTATATGTACTCGTCTTTCATATTTTTGGCATACCTATATTTATTTAACATCAATGAGATTTCGACAGTTTAAACTATTATTTATAGTTATAAAATATTTGTTATATTAAATTGTTCTATCTTATATAGTTATATAGTATTTATTGAGTTAATAGTTTGTTTATTTATACTTTTGTACAAAATAATATAAAATCAGAAAAATATGTTGGAACCCATAGTTTTACCAATGTATATTATAGTATCGATTCTGACAGCACAGAAATATAATATCTATATATATCACAGTTGAGATTTTTTATTTTTATTTTGAGCAGTATGACTATAATAGGTATATAAGTAGTTTTTAAATTTATATTTAGTCAGGAGCTTAAAAATTTTAAATTAAACACACAGGATTATTTAACAAACGACGACACGTAAACTTAAATACGTCCCAACAGATTCTGTATAATTATAGTGAATAATCACACGTTCACAAGAACATAAGTAAATAATTGTATATATTTTTTATGTGACCTTTTCAGACATTTACAGAAGATCACGATGGTTATTTCAGCCAGGTCGTGGAAATATTTGTCTATGTTACGTTACACGCTTATATAATAATATATTCATATTTTAATGTACTTTTTAAATTTAATTTTTAAAAGCAGTTTAGTTTATAATAAAATTCACATTAAAATTAAATATCTATTAATATTAATACTTTTTTTTTTACTAATTAAATAAAAAATAAAAAATATTCCTTGATAAAAATTTAAAAACAAAATTTACTGTTCTTTAGAATGTGTCTTTTTAATTTTTTGTCTTAAGTAATTGTTCCTTGAAACCGCAAAAAAAAGGTCATTCATCGATATTATTGTAGGTCACCAAAATTTAAATAATTTTCAAAACGAGTTGTGCCATGAAAAGTTTTAGAACATCTGATTCATTTTTAAACATTTGAACATTGAGAAGTATGTTGAATCAATTATTAAACAATATATTTATATATTATAAATATTTTATAAATAAATTGTTTCTATGTATTACAGAATCATTTTATCTAACATGATTAAAATATTTTTACGATATTTGGGTAAAATGTTGTTATAATATTTTTTGTCTGTCAAAAAAATTAATGTTTATGTTTTTACAATATTTTAAAATATTTTAATAAAAAAAAAAAAACATTTTTTTTTTTTAAATTTTTGCTCTAAATATTAATTATATTGAAATTAATACTATAACTATTTTCGTTTTCAGTATTTTTACAATGTTTTGAAAATATAATTTTGATATATAGCTACATTAAATAATTATTATCGTCACAGCTTTATTTTTCGTTAATATTATTTATTTTTATCGGTAGGTACGCACATTATGATTACAATATTTTTATAATTTTTTCATTGGTATTTTTATCAAACTAAAACCATATAATGTATATTATGGCTTTTTATTACAGTTTTTTTATTTTTTTGACACCCACTAACATAATTTTATCGTTGTACGCGTACGATACATCAATTATTCGTCTTGTTTATCAGTTAAACGCTCGAAAAACAAATTAATCTTAGTTTTATTAGGTATGTACTTAATTTTATACACCAACGTTGATCTTTTTTTAGGACCTTGACATTTTCATTTACTGTTGACTGTATGAAAAATGTTGACTTTTACATGAATAAAACAATAACATGCCTAATATTGTCGTTTTTATGCGTTTTAAATGCAACAATTATAAAAGCTTTCTGCTTTTAAGTAAGAATGCAAATATTCTATCAAAATCCGTACATATTTCACGTGCGACGTTGTTAAAAAGGTAAATTACTTTCAATTCAAAGCTCGTGTAATTTATCGTAATTTTATATATTCCGCGGTTAAGTTATACACATGATGTCAAGTTTGGTGTGATTTTAGAAAGTTAGGTGAGAGCTTATCGACATTACGCGAAATCAATATCTAAAAATATAAGTTGATCTCGTACTACCTATTACACGTTGGTTACTTAAATTATAATGTATATCACAACTGAAGTTTTTTACTTGTCGATAAAACAATCGCAAATATATGTCACGATATCGTTAACTACGTGACAATATATTATGATATTTTATCGCAATGCACATAATATATTACAATAACATTAATATAATAAATTATTATGTTATAAAACTTCGAGTATATAACAATGCATTATGTCGCCAGCCGCTTGCCATATTGTTATTATTGATTGATGGAAGAGAAGATTTTGAAAGTCGAGCATTATTGACTATTGTGATCAGTAAAATTACGATGTTCTAATTATTCATATTAATATGATAAGTAAATATTTTTATGATAGACAAATTATAATAAGTAGTGCGGTTATATTAACTATCTATGGGGGAGAAAAAGCTGAAAAAAACGAAAGCCGCATAATTTTAATGGTCAATAAAGTTGACGTGCCTTTTTGTTAAGATATTAAAGGGATTAATAAAAATAAAAATCGAGCTGATATGATAAATATTTTAGAAAAAAATACAATATATATTTGTTAAAAATGTATATTTTATAGATATTGAAAAAAAAAGATTAATAACTATGCACTCAAGATAGTAAAGCATCTCGCGTATTACTCATTTATATTTTATCAAAGCCCACACGAAAATTGAAAATTTAGTTGATTATCGAACATTTAAGTATAATATTAGCAAAATATTTAATATTAGGTATATGGTGATTGGCAAGTAATATCAAGAGTCAAATGACATGGATTTTATATTTATGTTGACCTAGCTAAATATTATCGTTTGTCTTTTACTGACATCGTTCAATCATATTTAAAATTGCATATGAACTTCGACTCGCAGACCGAAAAACATTAGTCGTTAAATTCAATTTATTCTGCGATTTATCAGACCGGCTCTCGACGCATGACAGATAACGATGACTCAGTGATTATATTGATCTGTGGGATGTTAATAGGGTGGATATTTTCTGTGGTAGTGCGTTTAAACACATGTTAATTTATGAGATTCAAAAACGTAGGAAGTTATTGAGCCAAAAATATTGTGTAAAAACAGCTTTAAAATTGTTATTTTTACGGAATATAAATCACGTAACTATTAACGAAAATATACGAAAATATAAAATTTATAAATTATAATTTTATGCACATACAAATTTAAGCTGTACAAGTGTGATACAGTATTTTATCATAAAAATTGTAGTGATAACCGGATATAAAGATCTGCTATCAGGTTTTTTTATTGAATTTTTTTGTCTAAAAAAGAGCTTAATTTTTATATTAAGACGTTATTAACGCAATTTAATCTATTAATGCGATCTAGTAAATACAACAATAGTCTTAGCAGACACCGAACGCTATTATTTCGAACGAATTTTAAGGAATTCTTACCCCAAGTTCAGAGCTTTACATACCACCTAAATGTGACAATCTTAATGTGTTATCATTTACCACTGTCGTTTGCAGTCTAAATAATGGATTTACCTGGGCTCTTCGTCGGAATGGTAAAAGTGTTCTACGCTGCTGGTGCCACTGGTACTACTGCCAGCAGGAGACTCAGATCGCGGTGCGTGGTCCGGCGATGAGGTTACCGCGGTCGTGGTGGTTGCGGTTGTGGTAGTGGTATTTTTAATGGATTCAGTGTCGGTAATGTCGACAGAGATGGTGGTGTTTGTGTAAGCAGTGTTAGTCGTGTTGGTATCGCGATCGCCGTTTTTCGTTGTGCTGTTATCCTTATCATCTATTGATGTTAAGCCCTCGGGTATATGGCTCTGAGATACAGATATGTTAGCGGTAGACGAGCACAACGAGTTTGGCAGCGTTGACACGCCAGTGAGACTCATCAGTAGGTTACCGACAGTGGCAATTTTATCCACTTCGTTCAGATCTTTGATGCTCTTACACATGTCCAGTACGTCTTGGGACCGGGACAGACTCTTGAGTCCGTACAGCTTCTCCTTAGACTTACTGAATGTCCGGGTGCCATGTCGGGACCGAGACACCAAAGACGTGTGGCTCTCGCACATTCGGCTGGATGCGTACTGCGACTCGTGCAACAGGGATGACCTCTTCATGTCATTTTCCCGTATGTGCTTGGACACGATCCGCTCAAAAAGCGCTTCTCGAGACTTGGATAGGTACGAAGGCTGCAAACTTCCACCGCTACGTCTAACACCGTTCGATGGCGTAACGCCCGCACACGTGTTGCATCCAGTACGTTTTGTAACCAATAGCTGTTGGTGTTGCTGTTGTTGGTAAGTTGGTTGATGTTGCTGGTGGTGGTGCATAGAATGGCTGCTGCCGGACGATGACTTGCGAAGGTTTGCTAGCCACGGGTGTTTCAAACACTCTTTGGCTGTCAGCCTCTCCTTAGGATCTTTGACCAACAGTTTTTGTATGAAGTCAACCGCCTCATTTGATACATCTTCGAAAAGCTCATCCGGAAAATCGATGTCAGCATTCGATATGTTGCAAAATGTCTCTTGGTCCGTATCGCCGCCGAACGGACTAAATCCCGTCAATAGTGCGTAAGTAGTCACGCCAAGTGACCTACAACAATATAAGCACCAATCGTTCGTAAATAAATGATATTTAAAAAAAAAAAAAATGTCAAATGAAATGATTCCCGAGAATTAAATTTTTCAAGATTCAAAAAATAAATTCCGGATAATGTTCAATACATATTGGAAATTATCTATTGTTTAACAGAATCTCATGAATAATTTTAAATCTCGTTTAGTAATAAAATATAATTTTTGGAAACAGTGATGGACTTTTTGAAAAGTTTTTTGTGGGACAGAGATCAATGGAAAAATCTTACCTAGGTTTTTATACATAAATAAAAATTTTAAGGTTTTTAATATAATAGATACCTATTATTAACCTATTTTATAAAAATAATAATAATAATAAAACTTTTTTTTAGTGTGAAAAAATAAATATAGACCAGATTTTCCAAATAAATTATCGTACATGTTTGTTAATGTGATTGCTCTATCATAACATTGAACGAAAACTTATGTTATTTTCTTACGATAACAGTCTGTTTGAACTATCATGTAAAAGTATTAAAGTTTGTACTTTGTTGTCGATGTTTTGTCACTTAGTAAGCTGATTCCTCTTGTTGTCGAGATTTTCTTCCAACGTGAGGAATCAGCTTACTAAGTGAGATTGGTGATTAATATTTTTTATAAATAATATACAATAGCATATAGCTCTATTATCTATATAAGAAATAATAATAATCATTATGTATTATTATTACATGTATGATTGATGCACTTATTATGAAGTAACTATAATATATATATTTAAGTTTTTTTTTAAATAAATTATATCAAATTAATTTTACTGACTACCCCGAACCCCTCCCTTCTTTAATTAAATTTTGAGTTTTTAACCACATAAATTATAATTAATATATGTTTGATGGTTTCTAGATTTTTTTTCTGATGTTTTTATAGAACTAGGACTTTCAAAAAAAAAAAATATATATATATATATATATAAAGATAATTTATAATAATATAATATTTGATTTTTATTTGCTTTACATAATATTATGATAATAATCTGACCCATATATCACCCCTTTTATACACTTCTGTAAGAATTTCCATTTTTAATGAGTTAATGGAATATTTGTGGGAACGAATGACCTTTAAAATAGTTATATTTGGGAACATGCAAGATCATTAAACCTAATGATGATATCTGAAATAAACTTGTATTGGTAATATAAGTGAATTACTCACCACATGTCTGCGGCCAACGTGATTGGTTCGTAATGAAGTATCTCTGGAGCTAAAAACGTAAATTTTGATTAAATTTATGTTTAAAATATTTTTCTCAAAACACTTTAGGTATTCTATAGTAAACAAATAAATGCATAAATCGCTTTTAGAACGGTGTACTTACCGACGTAGTCGGGTGTGCCAAGGATTTCTCTGATTTCCGTACCCTCTAAAATCACTCGGGATATTTCGAAATCACAAAGCTTGACGTCGCAAGTGGGAAATGCACCCATCAACACCAAATTTTGAGGCTGTGAACATAAAAATTTATAAATTTTAATCATGGGATTGAAATTGTAAGTGTGTCGTCGTCGTCGTCGTCAATATAAAATATTAAGTCATTTTGCGGTCGGTCACGAATTAAATTTATGATGTATACCGCCATTAGCATACTCGGCCTTAACAATACGAACGCCGAACACGAAACGGCATATTAATATAATGTTAATTCGATATTAATAATAATGGACGATATTATAGGTTTCCTGCCGGCTGGGGCTGGACCTTGATCCAGGAATATTTATCGCGATATCGATCTTTATTCTTTATAGAGTCTATATAGAATCTAGATCGTGACGGCGCCCGTTCGTTTGTTCGTGGGTGGCGTAATGTATTTTAAAGCACGTGTACCGCACATACGCACACCGCATTTGGACCTGGAACGTTCCAGGAAACCAGTGTGTCACCAATGTCATGATTTTTAAGGACTGTTTTATTCTTTTATTTTTGGATAAAAATGTAGAAAAAACCTTGGCGCACGTGTATTGCCACTGCACTCACTTTGATGTCCAAATGAGCGATTTTCCGCTGGTGCATGTAAGCCAAGCCTTCGACCACGTGGTGTATGAACTTGACTACGTCAGCTTCAAATGGTACGTTGTCGTCATCGATGACTTTCTGCAGATCACCTCCCGGAGCGCTAAAAAACATAAATCGTACATTTATATCATACTAATAATAAGAGTAACAGTTTTATTGTTTGTAAAACAATTATAATAATATAATATCGTCCGTACTATTCCATGACAATGATCAACTGTTTGGCCGTTTGAAAGACATCATGCAGTTTGGTAATCCGCGGCGATGGTGAACACAGCGATAGCAAAGCTATTTCGTGATGGATGTCGGGACTGCAATCTTCGCCGAATCTTGTGCGGTTTGAAAACTTAGCCGCAAATACTTCACCTGTTTCGATGGAAGTACACCGTCTGACTGATGCAAATTGACCTCTACAATCAAACAAAAAAAATGATATTGAAACAAATAAATAAAAATAATTATATGTAGATAATATCATAATAGTAATTAATATATTTATTATAAATAATTAGACGGATAACGCGTTTCGTTTCAAACTGCCTTGGCGTACAATTAAAAATATAATATTATAATTTATAACATATTGAACATAAAAGTTAAATCATTTTGTTAACATTTAGTTTTATTGATTTTTCGATCCAGTAAATCATAAGTAATTCGTTAGATTTGAACTGAACTCACGCGAGTAGTTTTCTTTCACTCCAAGTCGCATTATTATACTAAACAACGTCCGTGACGCTAATATTAAAAAAACAAATACTCATGCACACACTCTTATGGTCGCAGTGGCGTGGCGTTGAAAAGCATTACAATGATAATAATAAAAACGATTTGAAGAAGATTCGCGACAATTTTTTTTTATGGCTAGTAATGTCTGCGGCGGCCTACGCGTATCTACCGGAGTTACTAACATTCTACGATCGGCCAAGACCAAGGACGACGATATAATGAAAACTTGCGTCTTATATCTAACAATAGGTACATATTTTAAGTGTAAATACGCATCACAAAAGTTTTTAATTATCGCCCAGAACACGGTATAATATTATTGACGAGTATATTATAATATTATAGTGTGCGTTTATTATGCGTATAATATTTTTTTATATTCGTTGGTCGGATAATTTTACTTTTAGAATCGAAAATGCCCGAAATCCAAATGTAAACATACATAGTTTAGGATCGTTATGAATTTGATTCGTGATTGGAGTTTGGAGCCGTGTTGAAAATACTTTAAGAACCGATATTTTAAGAGCACTTGAAATTTAACATTTCAATTTCTTTAGTCTTTTTTATTATTTTTATTTTTTTTAATCGTGTATAAGTATTATATTGCAACTTATTTTTAGTTAAAATTGGTATTGGTTTTTAATATATTTTGGAGAATCGAAACAATTTTTTTCATTTTATTTTAGAAACCAAACAGTAATCAAAATAAATTATAAATATTTGGATACTTATTTTACAAACAGTATATACTTTATATAGCTTATGAAAATGTTGTACTCGTTTATTGATCACATTTTTATCATATTATGAACCAGTTATATAGTAGTATTTGCATATTCGTCATCATGACGCGTGTTTAATAAAATTTCAAGCTACTCTTCGATGACTCATGATAATATTGGACGATAACGTCAGTCTCGAGTACGAACATGCATGATTTTTTCATAAAAAAAAACTTGGATAACTGTATAAGTGCTGTAATATTAATCCAAAAATAAATCATCTGAATATTTTTTGTTACTTTAGAAATCGTATTTTGTCTACGATAAGAATCATCCAGCCTTATACCTTACCACCGATAAACTATTAATTATTATACCCGTACGGTGGTCTTAGCAGATTATCTCTATAAACGTAGGTAAGATCGGACAATGAAGATCGCGTGCGTTCGCGATTTACGATGTGGCGCCGCGCCAAAAACCTGCGTAGGTGTCATGCTCCGAGATAGAAGCACGTGATTTATTGCAAACGCCCAAAAATTTTCTGGGTGGGATCGTCATCGAATTATCATTTTATCACTCTGACTCAGTAACTTCAGCATAGAATTATAACTCATAATGGTTAAATTCTTGATTTCGACCGAAAAGAATAATCACGTATTGGTCAAAAATGTTATGATTATGAAAATGTTTATACCTTTTCACGATTAACAGCGACCACACTCTATAAGAACGAAAGAAATATTATGTACAACAAATGTGGTAAGGGCGTAATAATATTATATTTACTGATTAAAACTGTACAATTAATTTTATGAGTGTCGTGTCTATAATGAGGTTATATTACGACGTATTCCGTATTGAAACATTGTGGTGTAGTCATAGGGTATCAGGGTATTGAATCGTCTTTTCTATTTTTTTTTTTTTAAACAGCACATCGCCAGATATTTTGTACTAAGTTCCAGCATGAGCGAACAGTTGTAAGTGATCACGTTAGCGTATGGCGAACACGGACCGCCTTCAGTCACACAGCAACTATGCATTTCGAAAGTATTTATTTTTATCATTACGTTCATCTTGTAGGTACCTTGTTTTTTTTATATATAATACTCATAAACTAGAGGATATTTTGTGCATTTTGTAAAGGGCAACGAATAAAACGTCCATCATGAAATAAAAATTGCAAATTTTTTCACGACTTAGTCCAAATTACACTGAAGCAGTATAATTAGTAAAATGACTGGACGCGGATCCATGCTGAAAATAATTTAGAAATTTTGAGCTGCAGATTACATAACGTAATTTTTGTAGGATTATGCATAGGTGTACGGATGGTAATCACTAATCGCTTTAAATATACATACAATATTATGACTGTCATACTAAACGCCAATCGCATTAAATCAAAATTTATTTTACACCTATTAATACGTATACTATATTATACGTAGAGTGCTTGTGATTACACGACATCGGATTAGAACAGCTTATTTAATTGATAATTACCACAGACCTTCGAAATGTTAATATTATACGTATCTTGATCTAAATACTGTATGGAAACGATCTTGGAACAATATTATGTATTCTTATTACAGTGTTTGTGTAAATACAATGTTTTTATTTTACTCGATACACTTTAGTTTTACGTATACTTATGGTTTTCATACAATTATTATTGTACTCGTATATTTAATAAAAAAGTGTAAAACGTATAATAGTAATGTTTCGCTAAGGTAATTTCGAAATTATATCTGGAAATTGCATTTGTTCATTTGGAGTTCATTTTTTTGATTATCACGTCATGTCTTTATTCATATTATATAGTAACACAAGTCACAAATAATATTATGCAGTAAACTTGGTTACATACGTTTATATTAAAATTTTAAATTGACCAGCTTCGGAGTAGAATCTCTATTGACAGTAATTCTAAACGTACCTACCAATTACTACATAATACAAAAGAGTGGATTGATAGTTGTTAAGTGCAATACTAGTTTTCTATAATTGTAATCGTTTTATTAAAATTTAATATCTAAATGACAGTATTAACATAAATTTATGTGGCGTTGTTTAAAATATGTTCAATGTTATAATTTACCGGTGGTGCAGCAATATTACAGTGGGAGGACCTAATTGGTGTCAAGTATAATGTTATGACGCAAAATGTGATATGCAACCGGTTAATAAGAGGTTTTCGTATTCAGTTGTCGAATTAATGAGTTTAATAGACAAATAACGTAAAAAAAAAAATGTTGAAATGTCAAAAATTATACCGAACATATTAATTTATTGTAGTACAGCATATTGTGTACGATTTGATATTCCGTTTAATGATATTTTAATCTTAGCCTTTTAGTATGAACTATCAATATAATATTATAATACGCTCTATTCGTCTTTTTTTTTCTCATAATAATTTCTTAAAAATTAAATCGTAAAACAGTAATATACTATAAAGACGCAGAATAACGCGACGTATAAGGTTGTGACTACTTCCACCGGATCTCGGTCACTCGTTTAGCAACATTTGGTGCGATTCAACGCTCGTATTTCATTTTAGATTTGACGTAAATCCATTTACGGTGTCGTCGAAAATACTATAAATTCGGACGTTGTGTATAATGTATATAATACCTATATATACAGACACGCACAATATTGTATTAATCGATCAATGGGCGTGAACGTACGTTTAATTTTCGCAAGTCAACATTGTTGTCTTATTCAGCTGGTTTCTCAGCGAAATTTCAAGATACGTGACCACAACAGACAAGACAACAGCGATAGAAGCGATCATAAATCGTCACATATTAAAGTATTTTATTAAATAGACAAACCTGTATACCTGCAGTATTTTAACAAGTTAATGAGTTTAGTAAGTCTAAATTCATAATATTGTAAAATAGGTCGCAAAATTGTAGGTAAGAGAACAATTTATAATTTTTATCTAATTATGTAATAAATAAATTCGTTTCAAACATAATTGAATAGATTAACAACATACATCAATGTGTAGGTAGTATTAAGTCGTGTCGATCCAATCGAGATCAAATTTGGAGCGGGCGTTCGGAGGACATTTGCTTTTGCTACATAACAAATCTAAATTATGGTTCAGACTATTGCACATTAAACTGCATCAAATGCACCATTTGCTGAGGTAAATTTTTTTCTAACTTGAAACCATCGCGGTTATAAACCGATCGTCGATCGTCTACCGGGTTCGGCGCTCGAGATGTTTCTGTCATAGAGTGTATCTCGCTTATTGATATGTTATATTCGCAGACAATCGCGTGGTGACTTATGGTTAAGGTGATTCTTTTACCGTCATCATGGTATACTCTATACAGTCTATATCATTACCACTAAAATTGCAATACTACCATACACACAATATTGTATTGTAGTGCTGCTATAGCAACGTGCGTGGTATTATATATATATCAAAATGAAAACAGTTTTGGTGTGCTGACGAACCGGTCGGCCGTTCACAGCTCCTTTTTTATAACATAAAATAATATTGTATATTTATAAATCGGTGGACATCATATATAATGATGCGTTTGTCGGTGGCGGCGACCCATATTTGTCGGTATTAAGTTCGGTGCGGCGGGGACGACCCGATGAGAGAAATCGCCAAGTCGTAGTCGTCCCATTATAATGACCAGGCGTATACACCATGCAGCACGCCGATGAGGACTCTCTCGTTCACTGTCCGTTTTTCTCTTCTTTTGAAGTCTACCGCCAGATTTTCTTTCTCACGTCTCGTTATAATATACGCATTGTACCATGGTTATGGTAAATAAAAAATAAAATAAAAAATAAATGAGAATTTTTGTTTGAGATTCTCACTCTGCACTGTGATAACATACCTGCACGCGTCGGCGAATTGTAAACTATTATAAAATTCGTTGTTTGTTTATTCGCCTCTGTACGATATTATAGAGTGAATGTGTGAA